TTTTAAAATTTTCAATAAATCCTTTAAAGATACTCATAAAATCTTGAATAAATATCCAATAAGATTCTCTTTAAGAGTTTAAAACTCACATCAAATTCAAACGTCTAGTATTTCAATTCAAATAATATACTATTAAACTCTAATTCAACTTCTAGATTTTAATTTAAATTCTAACTGAATTAGAAATTAAACTTTAACAATTATATATTATATATCACTTCTAAAAATTACATTACTATATTATTATTTTCCTTACTATATTATAAAAATAATTAAATTCTTCAATATATCTTGAATAAATATTCAATGGATCTTTTTAAATTTTCAATAAATTCTTAATAAATCCTTAATAAATATTAAATAGATACCAAATGAAAATTTTAAAATTTTAAATAAATATCTAATAACTTTTTAAAATCTAAACTCAACTTTATTTTATTATATGATATTAGTGTATATCAGTCATGACTCTTGAAAAAAATTGGAGTCCCATTATATATTCTAATATAATCATTTTTCAAATTTAAATATTAATATTTCATAGGATGAATTTAAATATCAATATAATAATAAAGACTTATTAGGTGTTTATTTGAGATTTATTAATGATATTAATAATTTTTATAATACAATAATATTTGATAAGAAATACTGAAATTTTAAGTGTCAAGATATTTTAATTTTTTATAATTTTAATTTTTAAATCTCTTTTTAAAAAAATTTTAAATTTGTATTAAAAAATTTATTTCTTTCACTTGAGTTTTTTTTTTTTAAATTATAAGTCAATGAATAGAGCCCACAAGGTAAAATTATTAGCAGTAGAATTCCCATTCACAAGAGGTCCAAGTTGGACTTACCAATGTGTCAAAAAAGTCTAAGTTAGCACTGACATATACATGTATGACAGAGGCCAACAGTGCACGTAATCTTTTAGGGTTAAATATTGTTTCATTTTCATAAACTCGAAAACTTAGAGGGTAAAAGCTCATATATTTAAAGATGAGGGATAAAATGCCCCAAACTCAAAAGGTTGAAGGGCAAACTGTGGGTTTTGCCCACATAGATTTACAATATTAACAATCTTAATTAAAATCACAAAAGAAAAAAAAATCATCCAGCCTCCAAATTCAACATGAGTTATCAATTATCTAAAACTAAAATAAGTGATAAATAAGTAGAAATAATCAAATAACCTTGAATTAGACAATGCTCAAAAATACTAAAACTAAAATAAATCATAAGTAAATTGCAAACTTTCCTTCGAAAGATGGCCAACAACTTTAAATGGACTCCAATAAGGATGGATGACAAGTTGATGGGTTAATTGACGCAGTTCACTATTTCAGTAAATAACGGGTCTAAAATATTGGGTCGGAGCTCCAGCAGATGATGGGCTGATCGACTCCGCTCCGCTAGGAGTACTACAGGATCGACGCTCGAGCAGGGTAGCCGGATTCCTATTAGACGACTTCGTTCTGGTTCTGGTTCTGGGTCCGAATCCCATTTCTCTGCTCCTGGAAAGTTTAGCTTCGAACTGGGATAAAGAAGAGGAGATATACATCAGAAGAAGAAGAAGAAGAAGAAGAAGAAGAAGAAGAAGGGTACAGTGGAACCCAGTTTGGAAGAATTGTTGGAGCAGAAGAAGCGAGTCAGGAACCCTCTTGTCCGGTCAGTAATTCCCATTCGAAATTTTCATTTCATTACTTTTTAAGTTTTATCTGTTTGGACTCTGGTTTTGAATTTTTCGGTGAATGTGCTTAGCAAAATTTCAGGTGCTAAATGAGATGAAAATGTATTTGGTAGCAAGTTGAAAACTTATAGTTTAGTTTTAGAGAGTTTGACATTCGATGCTGCAGGTCCATTTTCGAGAACAAAACCCTTCTCTTGGAATGGATTTTCCTTTATTATTATTATAATTATTATTATTGATAAAGTGATCTCCTTGGATAGATAATATGGAGAAATTGATTGTTAATTTAGATCCAGCCATGGCTTTGACAAGGAATTGCATTACTTCTGCCAGAAGAGGCTTCGGACACAACATTTTACATTTACATGGCTGACTGAGGTTGCTTCACTTTTTTCAGCTTTGTGTGTGAGATTGTGACTATGA